GTTCTTATGTTAGCCAACCTGGCATATGCTGCTGCTGTTATCCTCTTGATATGAGCTTCAGGAGACAGGTCTGGCGTGATATCAACCCCCAGGTCTTTCTCTCTCTCTGACTCTTGAAGTATTTCATCTCCCAAATGATACCTTGTATCTGGTCTCCTGCTTCCTACCCCTATCTTCATTACATTACATTTGCTTGGGTTAAACTCTAACAGCCATTTGTTCGACCATTCCTGCAGCTTGTCCAGGTCTTCTTGAAGCCTCAAGGTGTCCTCCTCTGTCTTAATCCTTCTCATAATTTTGGCGTCGTCAGCAAACATTGAGAGGAATGAGTCTATACCCTCCAGGAGATCATTTACGTATATCAGAAACAGGATAGGTCCAAGTACAGAGCCCTGTGGGACTCCACTGGTGACTTCACGCCAGTCTGAGGTCTCACCCCCTCACTGTAACTCTCTGCTTCCTATTGTTTAGGTACTCCCTTATCCACTGGAGCGCCCTACCAGTTACTCCTGCCTGTTTCTCCAGCTTATGCATCAACCTTTTATGGGGTACTGTGTCAAAGGCTTTCCGACAGTCCAAAAAAATGCAGTCCGCCCACCCTTCTCTTTCTTGTTTAATCTTTGTCACCTGATCGTAGAATTCTATCAAGCCTGTAAGGCAAGATTTACCCTCCCTGAACCCATGTTGATGGGTTGTCACGAAGTCTCTTCTCTCCAGATGTGTTACTAGGTTTTTTTTCTCACAATCTTCTCCATCACCTTGCATGGTATACAAGTTAAGGACACTGGCCTGTAGTTCAGTGCCTCTTGTCTGTCACCCTTTTTGTATATTGGTACTACATTAGCAGTCTTCCATATTTCTGGTAGGTCCCCCGTTTCCAGTGACCTACTATACACTATGGAGAGTGGTAAGCAAAGTGTTCCTGCACACTCTTTCAATACCCATGGCGAGATTCCATCCGGCCCAACAGCTTTTCTCACATCCAGCTCCAATAGGTGCTTCTTGACCTCATCTCTTGTAATTTCGAACCTATCCAAGGTCACCTGGTTTGCTGTCACCTCTCCTAGCGCCGTGACTTCTCCCTGTTCTATTGTAAAGACCTGGAACCTTTTGTTGAGTTCTTCACACACCTCTTTGTCATTCTCTGTGTACCTGTCCTCGCCCACCCTAAGTTTCATCACCTGTTCCTTCACTGTTGTCTTCCTCCTGATGTGACTGTGTAGTAGCTTTGGTTCGGTCTTGGCTTTATTAGCTATATCATTTTCATACCTTTTCTCAGCTGCTCTTCTCACACTGACATACTCGTTCCTGGTTCTCTGGTATCTCTCTCTACTTTCTGGTGTTCTGTTATTACGGAAGTTCCTCCATGCCCTTTTGTTCAGCTCCTTTGCTTTCATACATTCCCTACTAAACCACGGCTTCTTCCTTTGCTTCTCTGTTTTTTTCCTGTCGGGCTGGGACAAACCTGCTTACAGCCTCCTGACATTTTTGGGTGACATAGTCCATCATGTCTTGTACGGACTTGGTTCCGAGTTCTGTGTCCCAATGTATATTCCATAGGAATTTATTCATTTCCTCATAGTTTCCCTTTCGGTACGTTTGCCCTTTGGTTCCCAGTTCTTTTTTGGGGGTGATAATTCCCAGCTCAACCAGGTACTCAAAGCTCAATATACTATGATCACTCATTCCCAATGGGGCTTCCAACTTAACTTCCCTTATATCCGACTCATTTAGGGTAAATATCAGATCAAACAAGGCTGGTTCATCCCCTCCTCTCATTCTTGTCGGTCCTTTGACGTGTTGACTTAGAAAGTTTCTTGTTGCCACATCCAGCAGCTTAGCTCTCCATGTGTCTGGGCCTCCATGTGCGTCTCTGTTCCCCCAATCTATCTTCCCATGGTTGAAGTCTCCCATGATTAGAAGTCTAGATCCGTTCCTGCTAGCCACAGAAGCTGCTCTCTCTATTATATTGATGGTGGCCAAGTTGTTTCTATCATATTCCTGTCTGGGTCTTCTGTCATTCGGTGGGGGGTTATATATGACTACTACTATAATTTTCTGTCCTCCAGTTGCTATGGTGCCTGATATGTAGTCACTGAAACCTTCACAGTTCTGAATTACCATCTCTTCGAAACTCCAACCTTCTCTTAGTAGCAAAACTACACCACCTCCTCCTCTCTTTCCTCACTACATAGTAGCCCTGTGGAAACACTGCGTTTGTTATGATTTTCGTTAGCTTTGTTTCTGTGAGTGCTATTATGTCTGGGTTTTCTTCTAGTGCTCATTCTCCAAGTTCACTTGTTTTATTTGAAATCCCATCTATGTTAGTGTACAACACCTTGAAGCTCACTTTCTTCTGTTCATTTTCATGTCCCTTTCTTGGCGAGCATTCTGCTGGTGTGGGAAGCTGTTCCGTGGGTGAGAGGATCTATGAGGTGGTTTGCAGGGTCTCAGAGGATTTTGGGGTGGGGGGTGGGGGTTTAAGGGAAGGGGAGACAGGTAGGGTGTGGGTTAAGGAGATAGGGGGGACATGGAGGATACGGGGTGAGGGGGGAGGAGGGATAGGGAGGGAATAGGATGAAGGGGTAGGGGGGACAGGGGGGAAAGATGGGAGGGGGGACATGATGGGAATGGGGATGGGGTGTCAGGGTCAGAATGGGGTAGGGGGGAGGGTAGGGTGGGGGCAGGTAGGGTGAAGGGAAGGGAGGGTTTTGATGCAGAGGGGGTGGTGGTGTTGCCCTCCCCTCTGGTGTTGCTGGGATGCTGGTTTTGGGTTCCCCTATTGTCTCTGGGACTGTTGTGTTGGGGGCTGTGATTTCCTGGTTTGCTCCTCTCTCCCTGCGCTTCCTCCTTGCCTCTGCTGCCCTGGCTCTCTCCTCCTTCGTCCTGTCCCTCTGCAGGAATACTTTTTTGAATCCCTCCACATGCTGCAGACGACTCTTCCTTTCGAGAATATCCTCCTTCGTGGTTTCGTTTGTAAACACCACCTTTACAAGTCGGTTTCTGTCCTTGTTGTTCCAGCCCAACCTGAAAACCTTCTCAATGTTATGTACAGCCCCTTCCATCTGTAACCCCTTCAGTAGCCCATGTACTGCCTCTCTATCCTTGCCATTCCATCCTTGCCTGTTGGATCCTTCCTGTTCTTTGATGCCTACAACTACCACTGATCTTTTTCTCTCCAGCAGCTGAGTGGTGCACCTTGCTGCTTCCTGTGACGTAGCTGCTTGCATCGCTACCTCCCTCACTGTGTCCATTGCTTCTGAGCTCTTTTTCAATATGTTCACAAATGTTTCAGGTACAGAGGCATTTCCTTCCAATGTAACATTCCCACCTTCCCTTTGGATGATAATCTGATGCTCGGTCTCTATATTTTTCTCTGTGAGGGATTTGATCTCCTCCCTTGCTGATGCCAGCTCACTTTGCAGATTGTTAATTGTAATCCTCATTTCATTCATCTCCCTCATGAATTCTTCCAAAACTTGGGTTAGCAATTCCTTCGTTTGATCACCCTGGCTGCTTCCCGTGTCCCTGTTGCGGCCTCCTGCCATTTTGCCCCTTGTCAAGAGAGAGAGCAAGAGAGAGAGAGAGCAAGGGAGAGAGAGAGAGCAAGAGAGAGAGAGAGTAAGGGAGAGAGAGTAAGGGAGAGAGAGAGTAAGGGAGAGAGAGAGAGAGCAAGAGAGAGAGAGAGAGAGAGCAAGAGAGCAAGAGAGAGAGAGCAAAAGAGAGCAAGAGAGAGCAAACAAGAGAGAGAGAGAACAAGAGAGAGAGAGCAAGAGAGAGAGCACAAGAGAGAGAGAGAGAGAGAGAGAGAGAGAGAGAGAGAGAGAGAGAGAGAGAGAGTAGAGAGAGAAGAGAGAGAGAGAGAGAGAGAGAGAGAGAGAGAGAGAGAGAGAGAGAGAGAGAGAGAGAGAGAGAGAGAGAGAGAGAGAGAGAGAGAGAGAGAGAGAGAGAGAGAGAGAGAGAGAGAGAGAGAGAGAGAGAGAGAGAGAGAGAGAGAGAGAGAGAGAGAGAGAGAGAGAGAGAACGTGTGTGCGCGTGGGATGGGGTTAAGAGGAGGTGAGGTGTTCAGCTTATGGCAGGTAAGAGAGGGGGAAGAGAAGGGGTAAGAGAGGGGTGGATTATGAGAGGTTTTATCTCCTTTCCATGAAAGGTGTTAATCCCTTCTAGCCTGTGTGTGCGTGCATACGTACGTGGGCTTGAGTGCGTGCGTGCGTGTGCGTGCGTGCGTGTGTCACTAGTTCCTGTAAGTGGTAACTTCTACCCAGAATAAGCCACGCTGAGATTTTAAATATATATACTATCCTGAACAAGAATTTGATAATATTTTACCTCACACTGTACACCTGATTAATTGACCAGAGAGGGGGTACATACCAGTCTGTTTCCCGCTCACACAACTAGATGAGTAATGATGATGTATGGGTGACGATGGTGCTCCGTCGTCGCCTTCCACTTGGTGATTCTCTAAGTGCTAGTAGATTGACGATGTCGGTTCTTCTCTACACAAATCTCTGGAGTCACAGTCACCACCCAACAAACACAGTCAGCAGTTCCACGGCGGGCCGTCCCACCTGGCCGTCAGGTCAGGTCGCTCTACGCGGTCCTCCACACTGTATGCACCGGTGATTCCACTAGCTACACTTGGGTTTCTTTGCACTATCGCTAGACTATGCTATGTAGCACCCTGCTAGCTACACACTGCGAGAGGCCAAATACTATGATCTAGCCTCAATAATCCTTCAATGTCACGAGAAATTGATGAATTTCCACAGACCTCGCTAATCGCGTGTGTCTCCTACCGTCGCTGGCCTACTACTACCTGTGTGACAGCAGAACTGCATTTATCCAACCAAAACAATATTTTGTGTCTATGTAATGTGAAAAGTCCATCTATCAACATACTGTCAATTCTTTTAATGCTCCTCGTTTAATTGTTGATGCTGTTTTGCCACCAGATAAATACAATTCTTAAAGGAATAATAGTTTAATCAAAGTCATCATAATGTTTTTATATATATTCTGCTACATCGAAGAGTTTGCAGCGTTACGATAACATGTAACATACATACATACGAGGTCAATACCTGTTGTTCTAATTTACCATTCACTGAGTTCCTCAAATTTGTCTGTCTGTCTGTCTGTCTGTCTGTCTGTCTGTCTGTCTGTCTGTCTGTCTGTCTGTCTGTCTGTCTGTCTGTCTGTCTGTCTGTCAGTCTGTCTGTATGTCTGTCTGTCTGTCTGTCTGCCTGTATGTCTGTCTGTCTGTCTGTCTGTGTGTCTGTCTAAAGGTTGGAGGCCAAACGCTTGGGGCTAGTCTAAGTAAATATTAGTTTGTTGTGGTAAGACCTGATGAAAACTAAATGCGTCTAAAACTAATGTTAACCTTTACACTGTTCTTGTTTCTCCCTCACGATTGATTTTTATAGTTGTCATTTGCTCAGTTTAATGAATTACGTGTTACCTATATTCTTCAGCAGGTACCAGATGCGTGGGTGGTAGCACCTAGCAGGTACCAGATGCGTGGGTGGTAGCACCTAGCAGGTACCAGATGCGTGGGTGGTAGCACCTAGCAGGTACCAGATGCGTGGGTGGTAGCACCTAGCAGGTACCAGATGCGTGGGTGGTAGCACCTAGCAGGTACCAGATGCGTGGGTGGTAGCACCTAGCAGGTTCCACAGGCCCGGCCACAGAACACAAGCATGTAGCCCGGGTTACTCTGGCACTCGCCCACACTCGCCCACACGCCGCAGTACGCGTTCTCGTCACGACACACCTGAGGCTCTGCTCGGCCGAGAGAAAGATCAATGAATTAATGAGTCTGCCATCATACAAAGGTTGCTCGACCCTTGACACTCACCACACAGGTTGCTCGACCCCTGACACTCACCACACAGGTTGCTCGACCCCTGACACTCACCACACAGGTTGCTCGACCCTGACACTCACCACACTGGTTGCTCGACCCCTGACACTCACCACACAGGTTGCTCGACCCCTGACACTCACCACACAGGTTGCTCGACCCTGACACTCACCACACTGGTTGCTCGACCCCTGACACTCACCACACAGGTTGCTCGACCCCTGACACTCACCACACAGGTTGCTCGACCCCTGACACTCACCACACTGGTTGCTCGACCCCTGACACTCACCACACTGGTTGCTCGACCCCTGACACTCACCACACAGGTTGCTCGACCCCTGACACTCACCACACAGGTTGCTCGACCCCTGACACTCACCACACTGGTTGCTCGACCCTGACACTCACCACACTGGTTGCTCGACCCTGACACTCACCACACAGGTTGCTCGACCCCTGACACTCACCACACTGGTTGCTCGACCCTGACACTCACCACACTGGTTGCTCGACCCCTGACACTCACCACACTGGTTGCTCGACCCCTGACACTCACCACACTGGTTGCTCGACCCCTGACACTCACCACACAGGTTGCTCGACCCCTGACACTCACCACACAGGTTGCTCGACCCCTGACACTCACCACACTGGTTGCTCGACCCTGACACTCACCACACTGGTTGCTCGACCCTGACACTCACCACACAGGTTGCTCGACCCTGACACTCACCACACTGGTTGCTCGACCCTGACACTCACCACACAGGTTGCTCGATCCCTGACACTCACCACACTGGTTGCTCGACCCTGACACTCACCACACAGGTTGCTCGACCCCTGACACTCACCACACTGGTTGCTCGACCCCTGACATTCACCACACAGGTTGCTCGACCCCTGACACTTATCAGGGTCAAGCAACTTGTGTGATCATTGCAGAAGACTGAATAAGGCTGACAAACTCATCTATCGCACTTGGTTGGATATTTGTGACTCATGTTCTTTTGCAACAGTGGTTACATCCTGCAAGATCGGCAACTTTCTGCAGCACTAGGAAGGCAAGTAGTAGTAGGGTTGCAAAGAACTGAATCTTATTCGCTTTTAATCCCAGATACGTATTGTACTGCTCTCCTTCGTAGTCTGGCAGCTCTGGACCGTTGTGTTACGTGTTCCAACACACAGTCTCAGACCTTCCTTACATCCTCAACTGTCACCCGTCCAGTCATCCGCTCACTCCCCAGATAAGGTTGAGTTACCTAGCTTCCCCCCCCCCCCCCCCAACACTTTCTTACCGAGTGCAAGACCAGGAACGCGTGCGAAGTTCTTGCAGACACATGTATGACAAGTTAATTGCTATATAACTAGTAAAATTATAATATTTTGTAATTTATAATCATATTTGTTAAAAAGTATTTAGAAAATAATAGTTTTCTAATGCAATGTAATTATAGTTTTCTCCGAACTTTCCCTTTCAGCTTTATCATTATTTTTTCTTATTTTTCTCGTCTTTTTCCCTTTTTCCTTATTTCAGACATTATCGTGTGTGGCAACTCACCGCACGTGTTGCAGGACATCTTGCAGTTGACGTCCATGTAGGCGTTGTTGGTGCGGCACCAGCCCGAGGCGGCCCACGCCCCACACTGCTCATACTGGTCGACGCAGGACTCCGGGGCTGGCGTGGACTCCCAGCCGTCGCTGCCGCACTTGTACAGCAGGTTGAGGCCCCTCGCGTCCAGCTGCGGCGTAGAACCAGAATAAATATACATTTGCAATGGATAAGTTTATATGTTGCAGGCGATGAGTCACAATAACTTGGCTAAAGTATGATGACCAGACCACACACTAGAATGTGAAGGGACGACGACGTTTCGGTCCGTCCTGGACCATTCTCAAGTCGAATCGACTTGAGAATGGTCCAGGACGGACCGAAACGTCGTCGTCCCTTCACATTCTAGTGTGTGGTCTGGTCATCAAGTTTATATGTTGTTTGTGTGTCTTCGCTTTCAAGAGGAGTTTTGCTACCCTGGTACAAGCTCTATGGACTTCACAAAAATAATCTAGTGTTTTCTAGAAACTTTAAACATACACGGAAGCGAACGGAAATAGAAGATTCAACGAGATGTCACAGAGCTGAGAGGGGTAAGCTACGAGCATTGACAGAAGGTGCAGCAGACGTCTAAATGCAAAGGAAGTCGTCTATGACAATCTAATAGCAGCCTTGCTACTTGCAAGCGCCTTGGTCTGGGTTTCAGTCCTGGACACGGAGGATTTATTGAGCGCTAATCTGTAGCTGTTCACTCCTTGTCAACCAACGCTCGTTACGGACCTGGTTGTTAACCGATTGGCGAGACATGTTCGTCGCTGGAAGACAGAAGAACTTGGGGAGACATGATCACCACATACAAGATTCTCAGGGGAATTGACAGGGTAGACAAGGATGGATTATTTAATACGGGTGGTACACACACAAGGGGACACAGGTGGAAGCTGAGTACCCAAATGAACCTCAGAGACATTAGAAAGAACTTTTTCAGTGTCAAAGTAGTTATTAAATGAAATGCACTAGGAAGTGATGTGGTGGAGGCTGATTCATACACAGTTTAAAATGTAGATAATATAGAGCCCAGTAGGCTCAGGAATCTGTACACCAGTTGATTGACGGTTGAGAGGCAGGACCAAAGAGCCAAAGCTCAACCCCCGCAAGCACAACTAGGTGAGTACACGTAATCTGCCCATTTGTTCTATAATGAAAATGTAAAACGAAAATGTAACTGACCTCTGATGGTGATACTGATCACATTCATGAGTCGATCGTTAATCTGTCAAAATGTAATTTTGACACTGACCTCAGACAAGCCCGTGCGCTGGCCAATGTTGACCCCGCTCTGCTTGGGCAGAATGGTTGGGGCAGAGTAGCTGCTGGCGAAGGCGAAGGCGTCGTAGTGCATGACAGATGCGTAATCGTAGGCCAGACCCAGGTCCGTGGTGATTGTATTCGACTTCTGCATGTGTAGAAATCTTTCTTTAGTCCAGTGTGGTGTTCATTGGTTTGTATATTATATTATAATTAAGAAAATGTTAACCAATAAAATCCCTTAAACATTTGTGCTTTTTTCAAACTTTTGACCTTTGTTAAAACTGTACATAACAAAAAAGTGCTAATAGTTCATATCAAACTTATTTTATGGTTGTCTCGCCATAATGTGCTGCTTACCTTTTCAAAGTTGTACTCTTGTCCTTGAATGATGTTGGACCAGTTGATGGTGACGTACTGGTCTCGGTCGTATCTGGACTGCTCGTGCCAGAAGCCAGCGGCGTGCATGAGCTCGTGGACGACCACACCGTGTTGGACGCAGCCGGCGCCCAGCGACACCACCTGAGGCCCCCCTGACCGACCCACGGCGCTCGAGCACCTTCACCAGTCACGGAGTAATATATCATAAATAATGCTTGCATAAAATCATGCTAATAAGGTAATTATCGGGAGAAAACACTAAGCCAGCATGACTATATTGTACAACTATCCTGCAATAACACATTGGTTTGAGTTGAAGGGAGGTGATTAATGTTGCTATACATGTGTGAGAATGAATAGAAGACATCTATAATATGATGGGGGTGGGGGGTGACATGCTAATATAAATGACGTGAGCACTATAAAAGCATTGTAAGAGCTGTACGGAGATGAAAGAAGGACCGTCTAATTGTAGCTTGAGTTTGTATCGTGCTTTAGTACTGGAATTTGAATGAAAGGCGTTATAGGGAAAATGGAGAGGGAAGAGAGGCCCTCTGAGGCCTCTGACAGCCGCTCCCAGACAAAACGCCGATATCCAAAAGATGAAATATTATGTAGAATACAAATCAAAATTCAGATGCATCCTGAACTTACAAAACAAATAGCAAATACTCACAAATTATCAAAAGGGTCTACATATGTTTGAGTAATTAGGCTCAGTGACAACAAACTGAGAGACTCAGTACTCACCCTTGTCCCCTGAGGATGTGAACATAGTCTGCCTGTGTAACCCTTTCCACGAAGCGAATACAAGTTTTCTTGTGGAACTCAGCGACGGCCCCAGCAATCACAGAGCGTTCCCACGAGGCTGTAATAAAGCAAGTTAAAAAATTCAACTTCTTGCATTTATCTTTTACACAAAAAATTAAAGCATTTAGGAACATGAGCATTGCGACAATTATATATTTCATTGTAAATTACAGCTAAAAGGTGCTACACTAAATAGCGTTTCATGTGTACTTCTTTATTTTGTTATACAACGTAATGACGAAATTTATTCTTAGAATGTAGTAATGAACTTGGAGGCAGATTTTGGTTGTGTTAAAAAGTACCAGCTGCTAAAGGGAAGTATGAAACTGGAAACCTATCTATACAAGATCAAGACGGCTAACGAGACAGGTGCGGTCATCGGCAAGTAGGGCATGAAGATTGAGACAGAAAAGGTGACGCGGCAGGTGGTGGAGTTGTCCGTCAGAGCTCCGGCAGCGTTCTACAGGACGAGTGCTGCCTCGAGGACAACCTTGCTAAGGCTGCAGTAAATAAACACAGTATTGAACGGAATCTTAAGTTATCAAATAGGTCCCTTAAAAGTGTCATTAGACGAGAACTCCTGGATGGATTTGAAGAAAGTAGAACTGTGCAAACTGGAACTAGTAGGTCCATTGTTCATCACAATGAAATGTGTGAAGTAAAACATGTGTATGGGGCAAGTAACAAAGTCAGTAGACTAACAGATGTTGTCACAGCTCGTATAAGACTTGGCTACAAGTATCTCTGGCAGTTCGGCTTGTATAGGGATCTAGATGAAGTAAAGTGTGTGAACAAAGACAGGGACACACACTCGAACACTACATCTTGGATTGTAGTAAAAATGAGCCTTTTAGAGATAAATCTAAGCTCACTCTGTATGATATGGCAACCTATCTTATTACCATGGTTAAATTACCTGAAATCCTTGCACTGTACCCACATTTCGCTTCCAGTAGATGAACGACATATGAGATTCAGAAACAAGTAGTGTATTGTGAAGACTAGTAATAAACAGAAGCTTCCCTATGACTCTATAATATCCCCATTGGTCAAACTATTATGTATTAGCGATAAGACCTACCATTAATGTATGATGACTTACTGTAAATATATAGCTCTTGAAATAGCACTTTCTCTGTAACTAGCTGACATTGTAACTATAAGGTGTGAAGGATAGATGAAATTGTTTATGTAATAATCTAAGATGAGGTCTGATAAAGACCTTTTGTGCCCTCTATAATGCTTTTGCGCTACCGCTCACAGGATGAGTATGGGGTGCACAATAAACCTAGCCGCCTTCGGCGGCAACAATAAAAAAAATTGGGGACAGCCAAAATAAGATTAATAATTCACTCTGTCGGGGGACAGGAAGCCAGAGTGTATTCATACACGTTAAGCTTTTATCGAGGTCACCCCTTCTCCCCCCCCCATCCCAGGATCGAATTACTAACCCCGCACAGGAAGCAACCACACAACACCTTTGAGAGAATGGTGCTTAATAGATTATTGTATAGAGTTAAAGAGCACATGTCACCTGATATCAATGGTTTCACACATGGTAAAAGTGTACACAACTGTATCACAACCTTTCTTACTGTTCATGGAGATAAAAGGCACAAGTACAAAACATTTCTTGATTTAAAAAATGCCTTTGATATAGCTAATAGGGAAGTGATTATGCATGAATTAGCAAGAATGGATATAGGGGGACATTTATTACAATGGATACGAGGCTATCTTACCAACCGGAAGTCCTCTGCACTGTTCCAAGGCTACAAGAGTGAAACTAAAGTAATGCAACTAGGCACCCCACAAGAAGGAGTACTTAGTCCTACCTTGTTTAATGTTCTAATTAATGCTTTACTAAAATCAACCCCAACTAGTCCGGCAAACATCACTATCAGCTATGCAGATGACATCCTTGTGCATACTAAAACCCACCGTGAAATGCAGTCTTAAATTGTATACATACAGCTTGTGAGAGCCTTGGTCTTGTAATCAACGCTGCTAAAACTAAGGTATTTAACAGACAAATTGGCAACCGCAAAAGTGGACCACGAAAACTTAAGATAGATAACACACCAATAGACTATGTCTCTTCTTTCAAATACCTTGGTGTCTCTGTCCCTTGTACCTCAACTGCAGTCAATAAGTTACATCAACAATGTAGAGACAGACTCAAGGCTCTCAGAACTGTAGTGGGGTACAGCCCGAAATATGGTGTTAGTATTAGAATAGCAAGAATGATGTATTTAGCGTATATAAATAGACTATCATGCACCAGCTTTGGTCCTGCAAAATGGCAAAAGTATTGATAGACTGGAAAAAATGCAAAATGAAGCACTCAGAATTATACTTGGCTGTCCTATAACTACCAAAGTTCTCAACATACGGAAAGAATTAAATATACTTAGCATTAGAGATAGAATATTTGAAATTAATCTTATGATAGGACTAAAGCTGCTGCGTGATAACAAAAACAACATTGTGTCAGTTGAACTGTTAGAACACATACGAAATGGAACCAGCGAGTCTAAATAGATTCAAAGAACAGCCACTCATATTAAAATGATGGGACTGCAAGATGTATATACAGATGAAAGAGTACAGCACTTCCTTCCAGCCTGGCAGATAGTACCTTTTGACATCCTGACCCCTGCATACCCCACCAAGAAACTAATCACAAACAACCCTCATGCTCAGCTTGCTGCTAAATTAAGGACCATAGAACACATTCATAATATACAAGCTGAAAACAACATTGCACAGGCCATATACACTGACGGATCACTCAATACAGGTACAGGGAGGGCAGGAAGTGCTATTATTGCTCATCAGCCCGATGGCAGCACAATTCAAAGGAATATCCGAATTAGTAACTGGGCGTCCACAATGCAAGCCGAGTTGGTAGCGATACTGGTAGCACTCGAAATTATTGACAACACTGAAGTAGACAGCTTAATTATTTCTGACTCCCTTTCCTCACTACGAGCAATAAACAGTTTGTAATCAAGTAATAACGTGCTTGTCTTGGAAGCTAGACGTAGATATATAAGAATACTTAGCAAGAGGGTATATATAAAAATGTTGTGGATTCCTTCTCACATTGGCATGCAGGAACATGACAAAGTTGACGCCCTTGCTAAGGCTGCAGTAAATAAAGACAGTATTGAACGGAATCTTGAGTTATCAAATAGGTCCCTTAAAAGTGTCATTAGACGAGAACTCCTGGATGAATTTGAAGAAAGTAGAATAGTGCAAACTGGAACTAGCAGGTCCATTGTTCATCACAATGAAATGTGTGAAGTAAAACATGTGTATGGGGCAAGTAACAAAGTCAGTAGACTAACAGATGTTGTCACAGCTCGTATAAGACTTGGCTACAAGTATCTCTGGCAGTTCGGCTTGTATAGGGATCTAGATGAAGTAAAGTGTAAAGTGTGTGGACAAAGACAGGGACACACACTCGAACACTATATCTTGGATTGTAGTAAAATTGAGCCTTTTAGAGATAAATCTAAGCTCACTCTGTATGATATGGCAACCTATCTTATTACCATGGTTAAATTACCTGAAATCCTTGCACTGTACCCACATTTTGCTTCCAGTAGATGAACGACATATGAGATTCAGAAACAAGTAGTGTATTGTGAAGACTAATAATAAACAGAAGCTCCCCTATGACTCTGTAATATCCCCATTGGTCAAACTATTATGTATTAGCGATAAGACCTACCATTAATGTATGATGACTTACTGTAAATATGTAGCTCTTGTAATAGCAGTTTCTCTGTAACTAGCTGACATTGTAACTATAAGGTGTGAAGGATAGATGAAATTGTTTATGTAATAATCTAAGATGAGGTCTGATAAAGACCTTTTGTGCCCTCTGTAATGCTTTTGCGCTACCGCTCACAGGACGAGTATGGGGTGCACAATAAACTACCGCTCACAGGATGAGTATGGGGTGCACAATAAACTACCGCTCACAGGACGAGTATGGGGTGCACAATAAACTACCGCTCACAGGAGGAGTATGGGGTGCACAATACACTACCGCTCACAGGAGGAGTATGGGGTGCACAATACACTACCGCTCACAGGATGAGTATGGGGTGCACAATACACTACCGCTCACAGGAGGAGTATGGGGTGCACAATAAACTACCGCTCACAGGATGAGTATGGGGTGCACAATAAACTACCGCTCACAGGATGAGTATGGGGTGCACAATAAACTACCGCTCACAGGATGAGTATGGGGTGCACAATAAACTACCGCTCACAGGATGAGTATGGGGTGCACAATAAACTAACCGACTTCGGCGGCAACAATCAAAATAAAAAACAAGCTGACTAACTCCAGAGTACCCATGTGCTGCTGGGTGAACAGAGCCATTAGGTGAGAGGAAATGTGCCCAACAATTTCTGTCCCGCCCGGGATTAGAACCCGGGATTAGAACCCGGGATTCTCGATTGTGTGCAAGAACGAACCCGACTGTACTACCGGGACCCCTTGTGACAAGGTGTGACAAAATCTGACAATTATGGGAAGAAAATGTTAATGCTCAGTAATTTATGAAATATATATCGATATATGTAACTTAGGTTACATATATCGCCCATAGTTTTTGTTACAAGAATAAATGGGATACATATGGGCTTCCCTGGGACTGGGAAAGATGCCATACAATAGGTCGGACAACATTTTGAGTGATGACGGAAACCATCCTGGTGACTGCCTCAAAGCAGGACGAAATGGTGGGGAAAAAATTACTTGCTAATATATTCTATTAAAATATTTGATGTTTAGAGAGTGAAGTACTCAATCACGCGAGAGGGAAGACACTCACAGAAGGCACTGGAGATTACGTAAGGTATTTGAGCCTCTGGCCACATCTTCTGCGGGTTCCTGACGGCGCTCAGCTGGTCCTTGGGGTCCCCCTGCAGGACACCACCACCAGACATAAGTGTTATTGCTCATCACTGTAGCATTACCGCTAGTTTTAGTATTAATATTATTGTTATTATCGTGAAGACTGCATGTGTGATAATGTGTAACACTGTGTTCATAACATCAAGGAAAGAAAGAGGGTAAAGGGGATGGGGGCAGTACCAGGATGATCTGGTAGAGGTGGTCCTCAGAGGTGACCATAATGTCTCCTTGGAAGTACCCGGAGCTGGTGATGGGGTCATTCTTGGTTCTCAACTTCTTGGTGGAAGGTCTTCTCAGGCTGGTCTTGAACTCCTCCGCGGAGAGCGGGGCCCCCAGGACGTCACTTATCGCCTGTGGGGTTAACAGTGACACATATACATGAAATAATGATTACAAATCTTTTAATTTTCTGCTTCTATGATTTGCATTAAGTTTAAAAGGTAATATAAATGTTTGCAGCTAGAGCTGCTTGCACCACAGCTTCAGTTTATTAGACTTGTCATTGTGAACTATATTTTCTACGTAGTGAGCCGACTGGGTTTGCATTGTTTGGGCTGTCAGTCATTAGACTCTTTTGAGTATGCGGGTGTAAAGCACGAACTTTATGACATGAATTAACATTGTCAGAGCTGCAACTTAAGATTACTTCGGAAAGGTCTTTGACATCTTCAAAATTATGATAAGAATCAACAGCCATATTAAGGGAAATCTTGACAGCTTCCATCACAGCCAGGCTATGTGATACGTGCTACTCACGTCGTTTGGGTCTCCAATGATGATGTTAGGAAGGTTGACGTGGGTGTCGTCCCCTCCTGCTACCACACACACCATGACGGCCAGCACAACACTCGTCTCGCACCTCATGGCAGCCTGCGCCTCTTGCCAGCTAACACTTGAATGTAAAAGTTACTGAGGGTTTTAATCTCACCGTGCCAAGATAACTCCAGAAAGTAGTTCTCTCACTACTCGGGAACGATTACCGGAGCCCGGTCCTGGAGGGTGGAGGCCGAGGGAGAGTGGAGGCCAAGGGAGAATGAAAGTCCACAACACTCCAACCTTTATATGAGCGATGACCGGAAACTAAGGGTGACTGATGTCAACATTAGGTGTATAAATCCCGCTTCTCGGTATTTATATATATGTCGTACCTAGTAGCCAGAACGCCCTTTTCGGCCTACTAAGCAAGGCCCGATTTGCCTAATAAGCCAAGTTATCCCGAATTTATATATTTTTTCACTGTTTTTTTTATTATGAAATGATAAAGCTATACATTTCATTAGGTATGGTTAATTTTGTTTAAATTTGAGTTAAAACTAACGTAGATATACGACCGAACCTAACCAACCCTGCCTAATATAACCTAACCTATCTTTACCTAACCTAACCTAACCTAACCTAACCTAACCTAACCTAACCTAACCTAACCAACCCTGCCTAATATAACCTAACCTAACCTAACCTAACCTAACCTAACCTAACCAACCCTGCCTAATATAACCTAACCTATCTTTACCTAACCTAACCTAACCTAACCTAACCTAACCTAACCTAACCAACCCTGCCTAATATAACCTAACCTATCTTTACCTAACCTAACCTAACCTAACCTAACCTAACCTAACCAACCCTGCCTAATATAACCTAACCTATCTTTACCTAACCTAACCTAACCTAACCTAACCAACCCTGCCTAATATAACCTAACCTAACCTAACCTAAACTAACAAAATTAAGTCAACAATTTATGTTCTTAATATAATATAATAATAATAATTCACTAATTGGGAACAATTTATTGAAAATAAAGACAATCACTCGGCCTATTAGGCAAATCGGGCCTTGCATAGTAGGCCGAGAAGTGTGTTCTGGCTACTAGGTACGACATATGTCTATATATATATATATATATATATATATATATATATATATATATATATATATATATATATATATATATATATATATATATATATATATATGTCGTACCTAGTAGCCAGAACTCACTTTTTGGCCTACTATTCAAGGCCCGATTTGCCTAATAAGCCAAGTTTTCCTGAATTAATATATTTTTTCTAATTTTTTTCTTATGAAATGATAAAGCTACCCATTTCATTATGTATGAGGTCAATTTTTTTTTATTGGAGTTAAAATTAACGTAGATATATGACCGAACCTAACCAACCCTACCTAACCTAACCTAACCTACCTTTATAGGTTAGGTTAGGTTAGGTAGCCAAAAAAGTTAGGTTAGGTTAGGTTAGGTAGGTTAGGTAGTCGAAAAACAATTAATTCATGAAAACTTGGCTTATTAGGCAAATCGGGCCTTGCATAGTAGGCTGAGAAGTGCGTTCTGGCTACTAGGTACGACATATATATATATATATATATGTCGTACCTAATAGCCAGAACGCACTTCTCAGCCTACTATGCAAGGCCCGATTTGCCTAATAAGCCAAGTTTTCATGAATTAATTGTTTTTCGACTACCTAACCTACCTAACCTAACCTAACCTAACTTTTTTGGCTACCTAACCTAACCTAACCTATAAAGGTAGGTTAGGTTAGGTTAGGTAGGGTTGGTTAGGTTCGGTCGTATATCTACGTTAATTTTAACTCCAATAAAAAAAAATTGACCTCATACATAATGAAATGGGTAGCTTTATCATTTCATAAGAAAAAAATTAGAGAAAATATATTAATTCAGGAAAACTTGGCTTATTAGGAAAATCGAGCTCTGCATAGTAGGCTGAGAAGTGAGTTCTGGCTACTAGGTACGACATATATATATATATATATATATATATATATATATATATATATATATATATATATATATATATATATATATTATTAAATATGACCGAAAAAGTAAGATTAATAATTCTAACACGAATTTTCTCAATCTTTCGTACATTACGCTTCACTGTTGGAGGTAAATCAAAAATCACTTCTCCAAAATTCATTTTTATTTCTAGTCTGACGCGACACGGGCGCGTTTCGTAAAACTTATTACATTATTACAGCCAATTATTGCACAACTATATTCTACCCACCTCAAGACTCCGCTCCAATATAGAAGCATCAAGAAATATGGACCAATAGGCTTTCTACAAACACTTCTATTCAATACCCATTGTTTCTGTTCTGTCTTGTGTTGATACTTTTAATACCCTATTAATATCCCCTAGTGTTCTGTCTTGTGTTAATGCCACATCACCCTTCCCACCTCACTCAAATGTAATGCCACATCACCCTTCCCACCTCACTCAAATGTAGATATAAAATCAGGGAAACGCAAGTTCTAATCAGTTGTGTATTTGTGAAGTCTTTGAAAATGTAATAAGTTTTACGAAACGCGCCCGTGTCGCGTCAGACTAGAAATAAAAATGAATTTTGGAGAAGTGATTTTTGATTTACCTCCAACAGTGAAGCGTAATGTACGAAAGATTGAGAAAATTCGTGTTAGAATTATTAATCTTACTTTTTCGGTCATATTTAATAATATATGTCTACAGGAAAGACTGCTACCAAAATATACTAATATATATATATATATATATATATATATATATATATATATATATATATATATATATATATATATATATATATATATATATAAATATATATATAATATGTATATTATATATACATATTATATATACATATAATATATATTATATATACATTATATATACATATAATATTAATACATATTATATATATAAGGCCAATTTTTGGCCTTAGGTAACTGATATGAGCAAAAAGCGACGTTCTTAGTAGGAGGACAGGTTGCTCAAGAATAACACTAATGACTGGACAGCCAATCATTGCAGCTTTATGTGAACAGTTAAGTTGTCTTGGTCAAAATAAAGGCCGTGAAAACATTCGTTTTCTTTATTTAATGATCATCAGAATGGTAGGTTAAACAAGCCGTATTATTTGGCCAGACTCGTGGGTGCTGCGGACACATTAGACGCGCCCCAGGACACATTAGACGCGCCCCAGGACACATTAGACGCACCCCAGGACACATTAGACGCTCCCCAGGACACATTAGACGCTCCCCAGGACACATTAGACGCGCCCCAGGACACATTAGACGCGCCCCAGGACACATTAGACGCTCCCCAGGACACACTAGACGCGCCCCAGGACACATTAGACGCACCCCAGGACACATTAGACGCGCCCCAGGACACATTAGACGCGCCCCAGGACACATTAGACGCACCCCAGGACACATTAGACGCTCCCCAGGACACATTAGACGCGCCCCAGGACACATTAGACGCACCCCAGGACACATTAGACGCGCCCCAGGACACATTAGACGCACCCCAGGACACATTAGACGCTCCCCAGGACACATTAGACGCGCCCCAGGACACATTAGACGCACCCCAGGACACATTAGACGCACCCCAGGACACATTAGACGCGCCCCAGGACACATTAGACGCGCCCCAGGACACATTAGACGCGCCCCAGGACACATTAGACGCACCCCAGGACACATTAGACGCGCCCCAGGACACATTAGACGCACCCCAGGACACATTAGACGCGCCCCAGGACACATTAGACGCGCCCCAGGACACATTAGACGCGCCCCAGGACACATTAGACGCGCCCCAGGACACATTAGACGCTTCCCAGGATACATCAGACGCATCCCAGGACACATTAGACGCTTCCTATGACACATTAGACGCTTCCCAGGACACATCAGACGCATCCCAGGACACATTAGACGCATCCTAGGACACATTAGACGCATCCCAGGACAAAATAGACGCATCCCAGGACACATTAGACGCATCCCAGGACACATCAGACGCATCCTAGGACACATTAGAGGCTTCCCAGGACACATTAGACGTGTCCCAAGAAACATTAGACTCGTACCAGTAAACATTAGACGCGTCCCAGGACACATTAGAAACCCAGGACACATTAGACGCGTTCCAAGACACATTAGACTCGTACCAGGAAACATTAGACGCGTCCCAGGACACATTAGACGCATCCCAGGACACATTAGATGCGTCCCAGGACACATTAGACGCGTCCCAGGACACATTAGACGCATCCCAGGACACATTAGATGCGTCCCAGGTCACATTAGACGCGTCCCAGCACACATTAGACGCGTCCGAGGACACATTAGATGCGTCCTAGGACATATTAGACGCATCCCAGGACACATTAGACGCATCCCAGGACACATTAGATGCGTCCCAAGAAACATTAGAAGCGTCTTAGGACACATTAGACGCATCCCAGGACACATTAAATGCCTCCCAGGACACATTTGACGCATCCCAGGACACATTAGATGCGTCCCAGGTCACATTAGACGCACCCCAGCACACATTAGACGCGCCCGAGGACACATTAAATGCGTCCCAGGACATATTAGACGCATCCCAGGACACATTAGACGCGTCCCAACACACATTAGATGCGTTGCAGGACACATTAGACGTGTCCCAGGACATATTAGATGCGTCCCAGCACACATTATATGCATCCCAGGACACATTGGACGCGTCCCAGGACACATTAGACGCGTCCCAGGACACATTAGATGCGTCCCAGGACACGTTAGACGCGTCCCAGGACACATTAGACACGTCCCAGGACACATTAGATGAGTCCCAGGACACATTAGATGAGTCCCAGGACACATTAGATACGTCCCAGGACACATTGGATGCGTCCCAGGACTCATTGGACGCGTCCCAGCACACATTAGATGCGTTCCAGGACACATTGGACGCGTCCCAGGACAATTTAGACGCGCCCCAGGTCACATTAGACACGTCCCAGGACACATTAGACACGTCCCAGGATACATTTGATGCGTCCCAGGACACATTAGACGCGTCCCTGGACACATTAGATGCGTCCCAAGACACATTAGACGCGTCCTAGGACACATTAAATGCGTCCCAGGACACATTAGACGCGTTCCAGGACACATTAGACGAGTCCCAGGACACATTGGACGCGTCCC